TGTAAATAAACCAAGACAAAGGTCTGCTTGTCCACAATGTCAGTGAAAAAATTAAAACTCAGCCCCCAAATTACAGCCTTTGAAGACCTCCATGGAATCTGAGTCCCCGGACTGAATAATGTACTCAGTATGGCTTTTAAATTTTTCCCTTAAATTGGACATGGTGGCACACACCTGTAATCCCAGCAACTTGGAAGTCTGAGGAAGGAAGATCACAAGTTTGAGGTCAGCCTCAGAAATTTAGCAAGGCCCTAAGCAACTTAACAGGACCCTGTTTCAAAAATCAAAAGGGCTGGGGATGTAGTTCAGCAATAAAGTACCCCTTGGTTCAATTCCCAGTACAAAAATCAATAAATAAAAATCCCCTAAGGTGGATACAGTGATGCACACCTGTAATTCTACTGACAGAAGTCTGAAGCAGGAGAATCCCAAATTTGAAGCTAGCCTCGGCAACATATTAAGACCCTGTCTCAAAATAAAATATACAAAGGGCTGGGAATTTAGCTCAGTGGTAGAGTACCCCTGGGTACAATCCCCAGTACCAAAAAAAAAAAAAAAAGTCCCCTTAATAGTGGTATCAGAGAGAGAGCCATCTTGGCTCCAAAAGCAAACAGGTGGAAATTTTAAAATTGAGGGCTGGAAAATGGGTATGTAAATAACTATGGGTTCAATTTCTATCTCCTCTACCTGTTCAAGTTATAAAATCTCTCTGAACCATAGAAAATGACTACAATTCCTATTTCACAGGACTAAATGAGATAATGTAAATCAATGCCCAGGGCAGTGCGTGGTACATGGTGAGTACTGAATAGGTGTCCCCATCTCTTTCCTAAAACATGGCATCATGACAAACAAACAAAATGTTCCTGGAAGCAAGTCACAAAGCTCTATGCTTCTCCTTGTCTCTGGCCTTTGGTGCCCTCTTTTATTTCCCTCACTCCCTTTTATGTTCTTCCATTCCCAGAAAACCAGAGCTTCCTAATAGAGGGTACTCTGGTAGCCATTAGGGATATATTAGGAAATTTCCAGCCTGAATCAGAAAAGTGCTCGAGACTTTCTTTTCTTATTTTTTCCCCCAGTACTGGGGATTTACCCAGGGGCACTCTACCACTGAATTATATCCCCAGACCTTTTTATGTTTGTTCGTTTTAAGACAGGTTTTCACTCAGTTGCCCAGGCTGGCCTCAAACTTGCAATCCTCTGGCCTCAGCCTCCCAAATCGGTAAGATTACAGGCATGCGCCCACTGTACCTGGATCCCTTCTTATTTTCCTAAGGATCCAGACTCCCTGGGAGGGGGTAAAAATAAAGAATCAAGACCATCTACATATGTAGTTCAATATAAGTTCCACTGTTAACTGCCAGATTTCAGGAATGCAAGAGAATATAGACATCTCTAAGCTACACAAGAGAAGGAGACATGGACTATTAATGCTAGACATTCATGAAGGGGGACAAAATTAGTTTTGCCTTATACCTAAGAAATAAAATTTAACTGAGTAACAAATGCTAATTGTTTTTAAGTGCTTGAAGGCCACATAATCTAGGGTAAATGACCTCCTGCTTTAAGCAGTTTTCTTAACACAGACAACTCCTGCCTTCAGGAGTGGGGGCTGGGACAAACCTTTGAAATTAGTAGAAAAGATAACTGGGAATATTCACCTAGAAATTCTGAGGACGGGTCCCTCACTCAAGTAGAGACCAACCCTCACCCAGGCGGGGGTGCTATAGGGAGAATATGAGATTAGAAGCCAGGAGAACTTAGTGTGAGTCCCATGTCCACCTCTAATTGCTGCATAATTCAGATTAAGTTATTCTGCCGATCCACCAGACCTCAGTTGCCTCACTTATAAACAGAGATAAGTGGAACACAAGTTATTACCAACCTGTCTTTCCATAACAAGTGACCCTTTTAGGATCTGAAATTATGGATCCTCTCCCCTAGAATAATACACTTTTGTGTGTAAACATCAGATCATATACTTTTTTGTTTTCGTACAAAGGATTGAACTCAGGGCCCTCAACCACTGAGCCACATCCCCAGCCCTATTTTGTATTTTATTTAGAGACAGGGTCTCACTAAGCTGCTTAGTGCCTCACCTTTGCTGAGACCGGCTTTAAACTCGAAATCCTGCTGTCTCAGCCTCCCCAGCCGCTGGGATTACAGGCATGTGCCAACACACCTGGTCAAAAAATAAAAATTTTTTTAAAGGAATCACATTTGCAGGGGTGGTGGTCACAGACTCCATAAAGCCTATCTCTGTATCCCCAGGATCAAGATACCCAAGGCCTACCATTGGCTTTTAAAAACAAAATACAACAACAACAACAAAAATGTATGTAATCACAAAGTCTTAATTAGAACGGAATCATCTACAGAACTAAGAGCATCCTCTGCAGAAACTGGGAGTGGGGAGTGGTTACTTAGGGAAAATAAATGGAAGTACCAATAAGAGTTGCCCTTGCTTTTGGAAGCCCTTTACAGTCATTCACAGGGGAGTGGCTAAGAATACCAACTCTAGAGCAGGACTGTCTAGTTCAAAAGGAGGATCTACTAGTTATTTGATCTAGGGCTTTGTTCCTCAGTTTCTTCAACTGTAAAAATAAAGAGGAGAAGGATAAAAATAATACCTATCTCAAGACCACTTGATACAGGGCCTAGTACACACTGACCCCTAAATAATTATTATGTTTTATTAAATCTGGGGCATATTGGCTGGGTGGGGTTAAAATTGTGAGCTAGGAGTTTGGGGAGTCATAAATACCTTGATTCTTTAGCTTCCTCAGATGTAAACCAAAGGCAATAACAGAATCTGCCTCATAAGTTTTTTGTGAGGCTTAATTAAACTGCCATATAAAAACTCTTTGGGGGGATGCTGAGAATGGAACATGGTAAGCAAGTGCTCTACCACTGACTGAGCTACGTTCCTGGCCCATAAAAAGTCCTCTTGCAATGCTTGGCTTGTAATAATTACTCAATAAATAGCAGGTAATGTCATTAACTCTGGAAGGGGGAAGGATTATCATTACCTTTTGTTTGTTCATTTCGGAAGAAAAGACAAAAAATGTTATGGCCACAACACCTCAGCTAGCAAGCAATTGTACCAAGATTTCAACTCAGCTGGGTCTAAAACCAGAAGTTATAACCACTACCCTATACAACCAGGTGTTGGAACAGGATTTGGAAAACATGTGTGTTAATTCATACCTACTAGAACTCTAGGAGATAAGACAGACATTTGGCAAAAGCAGTCCAAAATTTGAAGAATTTCCCATGGAGTCAATGATGACCTTGACCAAAGCCCCCTCTTTGCCACTCTTAAACATGAAAGACCTTGTAGGCTGAACCCTGATCTCAACCAGTTCTTTGCTTTCACAAGTAGCTGTTAAACCACAGCCCGACACCAAAAAAAAAGACAAAGAAACCATGACTTAACTAGCAAAGTAAATCCTTAAAATGAAAGTAATGTAATGCTGGGTCTGTGGAAAGATCAAGAGTGCTCTAAAATCAAGTGGAAGTTTTTGTAGCAGAACACAAATGTTTCTCTTGAATTAACACTTTCATTTGGCAAACAATGAAGTAGTTTATTTCTATTTTTTGGATGCCAAACTAAGAACGACTCCTCAATAGTAAAATAAGAGGAAGTAGGCAGCACAGCCCAAAGCAGTGGTGAGAGAAGCAATAGGTCACAGGCAAGAGACTCATCACCACCACCAAGAGCCACCTCCTTGAAAGGCAGGGTCAGCCTGAGCTACTCTGTCAACACAGATTTCTTTAACTGCAAAGTGAAAACAAAATGGACTGGCAGAAGAAACAAGATGATCAGTTAAACAGAAGTCGTTGCTAATCATAATTTCACATTTCCATATATTTATATATTTCTAAGTATATTTTACTTTTCAATCTTTATTCAAGGCTGCCCTATCCTTTAGTCAACTCCTCCTTTAAAAATAAATAAAGGGGGTCTGGAGGGTGGAGCAGTAGAGCACTTGCTTAGCATGCTCAAAGGCCTAGGATCCATCCCCAGCACCACAATCAATCAAGGTCCAGCTGTACACCTGCCTTAGGAATAAGCGTCACTGGAAGTGATGGCAGACACCTCAATCTCACCTCCATTCTCCCATTCAGAAGCCCTATCAGAGATGGACCAATGGTTCGAAGAGTCCCATATCACTGGGACCCACACCCCACAGGAACTAGCCAGATCCCAGGAAAAAAAGCACAGTGTCTGCATTCCAAACCCTGGGCCCACTGCTCCCAAAATAGGGTGGGGCAGGCAGAACTCTGGAGTGGAAGTCGGAAGCCCACCAGGTTCTGGGCCTCCTTCTGCTCCCACTTGGCTGTCCCTGCACTTTCCTCCCAGACCTTAGTTTCTCCTTCAGTACAATGATAGGTTTGATGGAAATCACGTGAAACCTCCCTCCTGCTCTCAATTTCTGATTCCATTATTCTTACATATAAATGTGCTTTGCAGAAATAAAAGCCCTTCCTTTCAAACAGGACATGTTGCTCTACATTCTGCGACCATCCCCCTCAATAATCCTTGTAATTTTAGAAAAGTATGATGCATCCAGAACTGAAAAACAGGCTGTTGCTTTCCTGTGTCACCAAACCTGACAATGTGGATTTTCTCTCCAGCCTTTTCCATCAATCCCACAATCCCACGGAAAAAAAAAAAAAATCTTGCCTACCCCTCCGGATTTCTAAACTCAAAGCTACCTTTTCCTGAATTAGAAAAGAAAACAAAAATACCAACCCAAACCCGGCCAGGTGGAAGATGCCACAGCACTAATTTGGAATCGGAGATTCCACCTCTGCCCCGCCCTCTCCCCGGGGTTCTTTTTGGCCACCAATCTTTAGTTCAACTCATCCCTCTATCTCCCCTAGTTACAAGTCAACCATTTCTTCCTCCCCAGCACATCTCACATGGAAAGGAGGCAGCTCCCGGGCTCCAACCCCAGGGGACTCAAACCTCCTCCCAGCCTGCTAGGAGTCGGCACCTGCGCGCAGCTGGAAGGGCCCCACGTCTTCCTGTGGGAAAGAAGGGGCGGTCGGCTAGTCCCCCGGCCGAGGTGCCCACTCCCCGTGCTGGGGAGGCCTCCGCGGCAGGTCTTCTGTCACTTACGGGCGGCTCCTCCCGGCAGGGCTGGGCAGATCGCACCAGCCGGCGGGCCAGCGGCGGAGTTTGCTGACTCAAAGGCGCGCGGCGGCGGCGGCGAGCGCACACGAGCGCAGCCCCGCGCACGTAGCGGCCCCGCTCCCGCGCTCAGCGCCTGTCGCCCGCGTGTGGCCGCAGGGCCTCCGGCTTCCGCCGCCCGGCGCCACCAGCCCAGGTGCCGCCCTTGGTGCCCCGCCCTCTGGCCTGGTGGACACTAGAGCTGACTGCCGGCGCGGCTGGCGCGCAGGGTACTGCGGCGCCTGGAGTTCTGTGTCATTTAGTCACCCCTTAGCAGTTTAAGTGGCTGAATGACTGAAGGTCGCCTAATATTTCATTTTCAAGCTTGAATTTTTAGACACAGCAGCAGATTATCATTCGGTACTTGCTCCGGGAGCCCTCCTGCCCTATCCCAGAAATCCGGGGAAGAAAGAAATACCCCCATATTTTTTTCAGAAGCTTAAGCTGAAAATGTGCTATAGGCACTTTTGAAATCACCACTTGAAAGCCACCTCGGGCTAGCTAACCTGGTCTCCCTGGGTGCAGGGAGAACTGATGAGTGGGGAGGGGATTGGATAGATGATGTGATAAACAAGAATAGCAGGATGTTAATAGGTGATGGGCATATGGGCTTTCTTCTTTTTTTCAACTTCTCTGCATTTTCATAATAAAACGTTTGGGGATAAAACTATGAGATCCACTAAAGGATTTGAATCGTTAAGGCATTTCCCAAATGGCACCTTGGGCTGTCACCTGTTTGCATGGAAACTCGCAATAATCACTTAAACTGTTAAGGGGTGACTAAATGACACAGAACAATAAAGGTAGCCTAATATTTCACTTTCAAGCTTGAATTTTACCATTAGACACAGCTGCAGATTATCATTCCGTACTTGCTGCTGATTAACATCGAGGGCCATTCGAGGTCTACCTGGAAAATGTACATGTCTGTATTTCACAAGTACACCTCCTATGTTGTTTCATAGCACAACTTCTAAAAATAAGTTTTATCTTAGATCCTGAACTTGTATCTCTGAATCCTAAATCACTAGTATATAATTTCATAAAATTGCACTTGAGTCATAATGTGTGCATGTAATGAATGTAACCATCATCACTTTTGAAGACCAAATTAAAGTGTGTTTTTCAAATTCTTGTATCTTTGCTCCATAAAGAAAAGCATTAACTGGGGGAACAAAATGCAACATGCATGTAAGATTCTAAAAGATTCCAAGATCTTATTTTCTAACTTATTGTCAAGAACATGACTTTACAATTGTGGGCTGAGTAGCAAACAACCCTTGGAGAGTCTACAGGAGGCCATTTAAATATCTCTTAGAATTATGACCCTAACAGAAAGGAACTTATGAAAAGAATTCAGAATAGAAAGAAGCTATAATGGCTGGCCTGATCCTGTAATCCTTGAGGCTCAGGAGACTGAGGCAGGAGTATCTCAAGTACAAAGCCAGCCTCAGCAACTTCGCAAGGCTGTAAGCAGCCTAGTGAGACCCTGTCTCTAAGTAAAATAATAATAATAATAATAATAAAAAGAAGCTGGAGATGTGGCTCAGTAAGAAATATTAGAAAAGAAAAGAAAGGAGTTATAATGGATTTTTTGAACCAATCTGATTTAAAAACTGTCATTTACAACCCGAATCCAGGGGTCTGACGTAAGTGACAGCCACCTTTTTTAGGTTGTAAAATGTTTGTGATACCATCAGTGGGATTGGGTAAATCTGGACTCTGCTGTAGTTAAGAAACCCTGCCTGTTGATAAGATCACCATAAAATTCCTTTTAAGGTCTGGGGATGTGGTTCAGTGGTAAAGTATTGCCTACCATGCATGAGATCTGGGGTTTGATCTCTAGCACTGGGAGAAAATTGCTTTTAAGAAAAAATATCAAAATTCTCACCATGTGAACATTTTAACCCTGAAAAGAATTGAGTATATTTATGAGATTCAAGTCTATGATATTAATATTTTCTTCTAAGAAATCTAGGCACATTTAAATTCTATGTACATGTAATGTTTAAGAGAATTTACCCTATTGGAATAACCATTTGTCTTGTAGTTTGTTTAAGATGTGTAACTTGATTTTAAGGTAAAATATTACTATTAGCAAACAGTATGGAAGCACTCAACATAAATTAAAATTTGCAACATTTATAAATGTAATTTATCAGTTGAGTTACTTATAAATCAACTAAAGAGCCCAACAAGGAAAACCAATACATTTAATTCATAAATGAAAGTTTTTAAATGAAGGTAAAAATGTTTAGAGGTGATTAAGTTTGTTAATGGAATAAAACCCCTTCTTAAGTTGTGTTTTGGTTTGGATGTGAGATGTCCCTACAAAGCTCCTATGTTAATGCAGGAATGTTCAGTGGTTAAGCAATTAGATTATGAGAACTGCAATCTAATCAATTCATTCTAGTTTGAAAGGATTGACTGGGTAATATCTGTAAGCAGGTGTGGCCTGGCTGAGGAGGTGGGTCACTAGAGTTGTGCCCTGAAAGGGTTCATTTTCTCTACAGCCCCTTCTCCTTTCTCTGTCTTTCCTGTTTGTCATGAAGGAGCAATTCCCGCACCAGGTTGTGCCCTTCTGCCATGAAGTTCTGTCTCATCTTGAGCCCAGATCAATGAAGTCGGCCTACCATGGACTGAACCTGAGCCAAAATAAACTTTTCCTCCTCTAAGTTGTCCTTAGCAGGCATTTTGGTCACAGCAATGAAAAGCTGACTAACATAAGTTGTTAAAATTTGGTGGAATTGCCTGGTGCAGTGGCATATGCCTGTAATCCCAGTGGTTTGGGAGCTGAGGCAGGAGGATCATGAGTTCAAAGCCAGCCTCAGCAAAAGCGAGGCACTAAGCAACTCAGTGAGACCCTGTTTCTAAATAAAACACAAAATAGGGTTTGTGTTTTATTTAGATATAAATAAATAAAATAGGATGTGGCTCAGTGGTCGAGTGCCTCTGAGTTCAATTCCTGGTACACCCCCCAAAAAAAATTTGTTGGAGTTCTAAGTAGAATAAGATTAATTATCCAGCCTTAGAAAACTAAGGAAGAGGGGCTGAGTTGTGGCTCAGTGTTACAGCACTTCCGTAGAAGGTGTGAGGCACTGGGTTTGATCCACAGCACCATATAAAAATAAATAAATAAATAAATAAATATTGTGTCCACCTACAACTAAAAATATTTTTTAAATAAAAAAAAAAACCTAAGAGGAATTATACTATGAAACTTGCAATTTCAATAAATATAACATTGTAAAAATAGAATCATATAATATTTTCTGTCCACAAAAACTATTTTTGGATGCACCAAAAAGTTTTTACATTAACAACTGCTACCATTTCTGTCTTGATGTGAGTGCCTTATACTGGGGGAAAGGTGGTATTTTGCATCTTTGTACCTAGGACTGACTGTAGTGGGAGCTCTAGAGAAAGCCCTCACTTCCCTGTTGTATTTGTGGTGGCTACAACACTGATAAGCCTTCATGAAGCTCTGTTCTCACCTAAATCCTGCCTTGAGTGACTTCTAGTGTTAGGATATCTGGATTCAAATCATGGCTTTACTACTGCCTGCTTGGGGATCATGGAAAAACAACTTAAACTTTCTGGGCCTCATTTCCTTTCTGAAAAAGGGGGGATGATAACACCAGCACCAGCTTCGTATTGTGCTTGTGAAGGTTAAATGAAACACCACAGGAAATGCTCTTAGAACTGTGCTGGGCACAAAGTAAGCACTCTGTAAATTTTAGCTGTTATCATAACTTGATCCAATCTCTCCTGTCTCTGACCTAAGTGCATTGAGACACATGAAAGAAAGCTGTCTTCACTCCCGCCTCTCACCAATCGGATCCTTCTTCCATCTCTTGAAAAAATTGCAAAATCCACAAGGCAGAAAAAATGGAATTTGCCTGGGCTCAGTGTTCAGAAATTATAATTAGCTGATACTAAATATTAAGACATATTTAAAACCATGCTATTTGTTTGTTTTGGAGACAGGGTCTTGCTATGTTACCCAGGGTGGCCTTAAACTTATGATCATTCTGTCCCAGCCACCAAGCATCTGGGATCATAGGCATGTGCCACCACACCCAGCTTTTAAAAACACTGGAGTTTTTAATGTGCATAATGGTCTTGCCTTCTTAAAAAAACACTGTCATAGGAGCTATTTATATGTACAAAAGATGATTTTTATTATTCATCAAACAACTAATAAAGGAATGTGAAGGAAAATGTAAACAAATGACAATTTGGATTTTTTTCTTTTTTTAATTTATTTATTTTTAGTTCTCGGCGGACACAACATCTTTGTTGGTATGTGGTGCTGAGTATTGAACCCGGGCCGCACGCATGCCAGGCGAGCGCGCTACCGCTTGAGCCACATCCCCAGCCCGACAATTTGGATTTTGATTTCTGATCTTGCAACAGATTCATCTGTTTTCAAAAACATAAAGACATTCCAGATTAATGTAAATAAAAATAGCCACTGTTGGACATTAATGTTTTTTTCAAAACATTTCTTCTGTGTATTCTTCCCCAAAAAAATGAGACTAGAAAAAAATTTTTTCAGACAGCTTACCTATTTGTAAGATAAAGGGGCCTAGACTGCCCATCCATCTGCCCAATTCTCCTCTTCCTTATGTTTGTTAGTGGGCTACTATTCTCCTAGTTAACACCCAAAATCTGCTAACTTTGGTACTGGCTTTGCATTACTCTCTTACCCTGGCACTCTGTTATGGTTTGGACATGAGGTGTTCCTGAAAAGCTCCTGTATTAATGCAGAAATGTTCAGAGGTGGAATGACAGGATTATGAGAGCTGTAACCTAATTAGGCCATCCTTGTTTGAATGGACTGACGAGTGATAACTGTAGGCAGATGGGGTGTGGCTGGAGAAGGTGGGTCACTGAGTCTTTCCCCAAAAGGGTGCATCTGCCCTGCGGTCCCTTCCCTTCCCCCTACCCCCTTCTCTTTTATCCCCCTCTCTATTTCCCAGCCATGATGCATCCCCTTACCTCAGTACCAGATCAATGGAGTCAGCTGAACAAAGACTAAACCTCTGGAACCGTGAACACAAAATAAACCTTTCCTCCTCTAAGTTATGCTTGTCAAATA